CTTGCATCTTAAACGAAAATAATTAAATAGGAGAATACCTTCAAGAGCGTGCGTAAAAAGAGTTATGAAAAATCAGCGCGATAAATTGTACTCAAATTTAATGGGCTATAGAACTGCATACTTTTAACTCCGATTTAAAATATTGAAGTTTTTATAACAGTTTCTAAAATTCTACTAAATTTCCAATACTGTTAGAAACGTCAATTTATATGTTTATGTTATTATACTTATGAGCCATTCTTAAAAAAAAAATTACGAACCATTGTGAATATTCAAAATTCTAAACACCTAGGTTTTTCAGACAATCCTAATAAAAAATTCTAAAAAATCGCATGGAGTAGTAGTGGAGTAGTCTAGTAAGACAATATTAAGCATAAAAAAAAAACAATTTATTTCTGCACTTCAACATATTCCATGTAAAACTGAACATTAATGAAATAAATAGGTTTTTATCTGTATTTCAACCAAAAACAAAAAAAAAAATACCACAATAAATACACGAATTATGTAAGAATACAAAGACAAATTAATTATACACTGAAAGTAATAGAAACTCTCAAAAAAAAAAAAAAAATCGCAACTGCCAAAAAATGGTTTGAAAAACCGCATAAATTCAAATCCGCATAAAAATAACGCATAAAAGGAGATCTAAGTATCACAGAAATCGCCATTATACGTAACAAATGTAAATTATTTTTAAGAATAACGGTTTTAGAAAATTAAGGAATAACTGACACTTTAGGCTCCTAATTTTAAAGCACAGTTTGCCTCAAAAATCAAATTAGTGCAAAACAAGTAGCTCTTTAAATAATAAAATGAAGTATTTTTTATTTACAAAATTGTATGCGTAGTTATTTAAAATTACAGTATTTAAAGAAAAGGCTCTGTACTATACTTCTTGGAACCAGCTCAAAACCAACCACATTTGTTCTAGCCCGGAGGTGACCCTTTTTGAACTACATATCTAGAAACTGTTGTTATATGAACTGTCTCAGAACAATCTAAGCCAGAACAATCAGTTCAGAACAAGTTCAAAAGTTCTGCAGAGGGCGACAATTTTCACAACGTAGGACATCGCCATTTAAAAAAAAAGACAATTCAAAGCATTGAGTTGGGATAGATGAAGAACCAGTACCGTCCCGTTTTCAGGCTAGCTCGGCGCAAGTTCTGAACTCGTTTGATTTGCTGCAGGGTATTTAGTTCATCTGCAAGGCAGCGTTTGAACTAGCAAACCCAAAAACCAACAAACATTGAAACTGCATACATTTTAAATTTGTTTCAGTATCTTCTTTATAGTTTCAATATGGGAAATATTACAACAAATACATTTTTTCACTTTTCACTTAATACATATATGTAAGTCTAGATACTAAAATACATAGAGACTACTTTTGGATGTGTGGATGTATGCATGTTGGGAAGACTCAAATTAACACGACCTACATACATATACTTAGCTAAAAGTGCCTGATCGACTACTATCTCTATAAAGTTGAAAAATAATATACTTAGTAAATTATAGAAAGAAAAAAGGAAGTGAAAAGATCATGATGATTTCCCAGAAGGATATGTACACTGTCACGATATACATATGTATGTATTTTCCTTTAAGTAAATGTTAACTAATCATAGGACCTACTTAGTTACTATTATAAATGTCTATGTAGATGTTACATTCACTCACACATCTTATCGTCTAGGGTTCCACCACTACTTCTAACTTAACAGAATCGTATATTTAATGTGGCGTTATTACTAGAAAACTATACAATTATCTTTTGATATTTGCTTTACAATTTGTTGTAATAGCCTTATTTGAAATTTTATTGAAAAAACGAAGTTTAGATTGCTTTTCTTTTAAAATATGTACTATACATAGATAAAGTCAATTCCTGTTAAAAGACTAATCGCTATGTATATATTGTATGTGTTGCTTTTATAACCGTTTAATAAAGGAGGATTTTTATTCGTTTGATTTATATGAAATTCCTACTAAAACGAGTTGTTTTCAAAACTCGTCTGTCAATTTTATTAAACGAATACAAATTTGGAGTGTGGACATTTTTTGGGCGTTCCTAAAGTAAGACGCAACCACTTGCCGCGACATGACGGTGTCGCCAGTGCTCGCCATCGTGTAGTTCTTCCCGGCACGCCTTCGCCTCGACAACGGGCATTATCCGAAATTTGCCCATCATTAGCATGAACTATGGGGCGTCGTCGCAAAGCCAGAGGTGTCGTAACGGATACGGTATTCATGCCAATGCTAACTGTTGCTGAACTCGGTTCATCTCCTTCAAAAGCATTACTGTCTAATTGATATTCTGGCCAATATGAGTTGTCTTCGTTATTTGGTGTTGAATTCTGAATTTTGTCGTTCCGTAAATTCAATTTATGGTAAGTTCCTCGCTTGTTACAATGAACTGCTATCCGATCGCCTATAATAGAATATTTATTTACACACGTACATACATACATACATACATATATTTTTACAAACAACCCACCTTCCATAAGTAGATTGTAGGGTGCCAACTTGTGGCATTCCTTAGCCGCTTTAATTACTTCAAACTCAATGCAATATCTGTAAAAATAAAAATTAATAAAATGAAGCGCATTAATATACACATACATAAGCGCAAATTGAATACGAAATAAAATTTGTTTGATGACAAGTTGATGAATGTGAGCTCACCTTACCACTTAAATTTTGCTCAAATATGTGGCCAATTAGAATTGAATTTGATATATGCTATATCCTGTACATTTATCCTCATCAGAAACTTCCGAGTTTCCCTGCTACATGTTTCCATTTCCGAGATATTCGTTCAAACAACACTCCTTTTGTTTTTGGTTTAATACACATTTTTACACAGAAATCGCTCAGCAAAGAAAAAGGACAACGCATTCATCCACACCTTTTTAGCGGAAACGGAAATTGTAACTTTTAACAAGTTATTCCCCAGAGGAACACAAGCATACATAGATGCACACAAACATACATATATGCAGTATGTGTACATATCCATATACATATTTACATGCGTACATGCGTACGACTGAAAAGACGTGCGAAGCTTTTTTAAACCACCGCTTTTTTCTACGACAACAGATTGTGTTAAATAAGCCGCATAAGTTATTTCCGTCGGTTATTTAACAACTTAATCTTGTGGGCGACTGTCGATTTGTTTAAAGTCTAACCCCAAAATTCATAAAAAATAAAGAGGACTTTAACTACTTTATAAATCGAAAATTTGTATGAAAACGTCACTTTATAAAGCTCTTTAAACCTATTTTTTATGAATAAGGCCATACGATTAATTTTTGAAGTAAAGTTGATACATACATCTAACTACATATATACATACGTATATGGAGGCTCCTGTTATAATTTCCTTGTTTTATTACCTCCTAAACTGGAAAACAATTTTTAACGCACTTTGATGATAATTTGAGCCACCTTCTGCTCTCTTGGATTCATACCTGCTAGCTTAATGAAAAAATGTATATATTGAAAGCTACAGCAAAGTTAGCTAGCAGCGATGAACGTTGGCGAGTTTGATTGTGCCTCATAAATTTCGTTCGTTTCGCCACTCGCTAAAGGCCCGTTTACATACAACTTTGACGTTGCGTTGGCGTTGGAGTTGGCGTTGGCGTCGCTCGACAGCTGACTATACAGTTTACAGTTAATTTAATGACCAAAGTATTCGCTACTAAGCGTTCATTGTAGCAAGTACGAGTGTTACTCGCGCTGCTGTCAAAGCGATGCCAAAGTTGTATATAAACGGGCCTTAAGGGTTGCGAATCGAATGCGGCTTTTGTTGTTGTTATTGGCAAAAAATTTACCATATGGACGTTCACTTTACAACACCATTTACATAAATAATAAAATACCGCAAATGAAGCATTATATTAAAGCCAGACTCCTCACCACAGATATTAGCCAACTGCATGCATACATACATACATACATAGGTATGTACACGAGAAATATAAAGAGTTAATCCTACAAATCGTAAATAACATAAACGTAAATTTCATTACTTTAGGTACATACATACATACATACATATGTACATGTACATTTTTTATTCATTCTTATCACTCTGTGAGAATGCCGGCTTTTGGCAACAAAGGTATTCCAGTCGAATGATGATACAAATACATATGTATATAACTACAATAAATTGACAATGAGCTCTTAACAATAACGGCTTTGGGTCGGAAACTCTTTTGTTTACTGATATATACACTTGGAGAATTATTTTTTTTATGCAAAAAATGTTAAAACAAAATTCTTACACCAGATCAACGCTTGAAATTGATTAAGAAACATGATTACTCACCGGGATTATATGACAAGGTTTGATATTTATTCTCGCTTTAAAATACATACCACTAATTGGTTGAGCGGCTTGGCCTCAGCACGAGTGAAGGGAGTGTGTGTTAAATGTATTATAAACCCACATTTGACCAAAATTTCGCTATTTTACTGACGTGCAGTCTCTCAAACACCAATTTTTCAGATCAAAATATACATATATGTTAGATATTTATAAATAAATTTGTTTTCGATTGAAACTAGAAATTCCATCGATATTTGTGATTGTTATATATGACGAAAAATATGCGTATTTTTAAGCTCGGGGAAAATTTCGATCTTTCGGTGTCTGTCACATTACCACATCAGTCGGAGATGGTTAAATAAAGATTAAAAAAAAATGTTTCTGCTCCCACACATTTTACAATTTGTATGTACACAGTTAGATGGATTGATTTTTTAGCAACGTCAGTTTAACATTAAACTTGGCTTAGAAATTCACCACAGGTAAACTCGTAGCGAAAAAATAATCACAAGCGTAATTCTGGGTGTATTTAAAGGCTTCCATTATGCGAAAAGGTATATGAATGATATTTAAGCTGAGTCGTCATTGTTAAAGAGATATGTACATACATATGTATCTACATAGCACGTATGCGTACTACACAAGTAAGAGTTGAGTTCGCTTGAAGCGATCAGTTTTGATTTGAGCGTGGCTGCGGAAAGAACATCTTACCGGATCGACAGTTTATATATATGTTAAATAAAAGCCTCGAGAATTCGCGCAAAGTGCTTACGAATAGAATTTATCTAAAACGATATATGTATTTACACACAGATACATCTAAGAGATCAATTATATAAATATGCAAAACAAAAATGTAAGCGGTATCTGAAATTTAAAGTTATTAACAACGGCGGAACCGCAAGTAATTAAATCACAATATTCTGACTACATCATCTAATTAATTCTAAAAGAAAGTGAAATGTTGTGGTTGAAATACAGAGATCCAAATATTTCAAACATATCGACTAAAATAACTGTATCTAGTCAAATATAGACCAAAATGTATTTGAATTACAAAAAAAACAAACAAAAACCATAATTGGTTAGAAAAATTTAATCAACTTTGTAATACACATTCATGCGCAAATTTTGCTGTATATGAGTACATCCCAGTGGAGAAATGTAATGTATAGTAATCAAAAATGCATTTTTTCCCCAAGGCCAATGTCCTAGGAAAAGTGGGGCATTCAATTTTGCATTACCTAGTATCGAGAAATGAACGTGATTTAATATGAAATGTTTGGGACTTTTCGAATACATTAGAATGCTGATTACATATTAAACAGAAATTCGATCTAAAACTCATAGGAAATACATCAGATTATTTATCACGCATGGAATGCATTACTATTTTTCCCACTGGGATGTATTTAATTGTACACACACACATATACAAATAAATACGACTTAATTGATGGCACACAAAATGAACTGAATAAGAAAATATTGTATGTGCATAGATATGTTTGTATATAGTGGCTCAATTGAAAGTGAAGAAAACAATTAACGCACTACTGGTAACCGCCGAAAAATTCAAGATTCCGAATTAAATCCGCTCCCTACATCCACAGCCTCTACAGATGTATTTTATTTGAAGACCAGTGTATACATTTGTATGTACATTTGTATGAATAAGGTCATACCTAGGAATGCTGATGCCAAAAAAAATATACATATTTAAGCTGCGGACACCGCGTGCCCTGCTTAATAAATAAACATTAAAAAACTCAAATGCCTGAGGGCAGAAAACATCGATAAATAAGTACATACATACTTTTGTGCATATGTATGTATGTATGTATGTAACATGTAGATAATGACGCGAAAGCAATTAAAAATTTGTGCTGCAGTTGGAGCAGCGGCAACGCGACCGCATAATACTCGTCAAACAAGCTGTGAACGTGCAAATAAAATATTCGCCGGCGTTTCATTGACATCTATAATGAATTCATTTTACTGGCAGTTGATGCTGGTGGTGTTGGTGGTTAGCTGTGATATGTGCAAATCAAATGAATATCCAGTGACAAGCAGCAAAACTGTAACTGCAACTGCAACTGCAACTGACAGCGGTGAAATTGGCGGCGAAATCACAATTGATACCACCACAAATCTACTCGACCCATATACAGGCGGCGGGAAGGAGGACTCCATAGGGGAATATCTCAAGAGTGAAAAGGAAAAATTTTTGGGCAGCAACCTTATCAGAAATGCCACAATCGAAAACGTAACAGAAGAATGCCGCACGCACTGCAACCTACAAGTAAGTTTGCCACTTTACATAGTGCATTATTGCAACGAAAATTCGAGTAATCAGCAATTAAAAAACAATATTTAAAGTAAATTGCATCGCGTACTTTTTCTAAAACCGGTAGCTTAATGAGACGTTTTTTGTAGCTTAGTTGGTGCATATTGCATTTGAATGCCGTCAGTTTTACGAACTAAACCGACTGTAATTAGTTATCATAGTAATATGCATATGTTTACCGCAAAAATAGTTGCAAAATTTGATTTACGATTGGAAAATTAGTTTGTTTTGTGTCTGAGCAAAGCTGCAATGTCCAGCAAAAAAATAAAAATAAATTTTGTTTACGATCCAAAAAGTCGCACGCATACACATAGGCGTGCATAGGTAAATAAAATCACGTGATTTATGGACCAACACATTTTTTATTCAACTGCCCTTTCTTTAGAGATAATTAGCTGACAATATAATTGCGCTTAATTGTTTACTTAAATTAACAGCTAATTAGTGGCTTCTACATTCCTAAACTAAGCGACCGTCGGTCGTGCCGTATGCTTGTGCACGTGCTGGAATTATTTAAATTTGTGTGTGTGCACTGTAATTCATACTACATAAATACATATGTACGTATGTACATATGTGCTTAGTATTCGTTCGCAAGAGCCCACGTCTTCTTCGCCAATTAAAACAGTCAAACCACATATGTGTACACACACACATACATATGTATTAGGAATGTTAATCCCGGGATCCCGGCATTTTTTAGGCCACGAAAATCCCGGGATTTGTGGGATTTGTAATTTGCACTGATGGCAATAATAGAAACTCCTTTTCTTGACCAGTATTGGCTATATTTTTTTTTTTATTTAATAATAAATTTTTTTTTATACATGTCTAAATCATTATACATATAAAACCGTGCGATAGTACATTTTGCACACAAAAATCAATATATTCGCGAAACTATGGGCCAAATATAGTAAAATTGCGTTTTTAGTTTTTACTTTGACGTCAGTAATTCAAAAATGATTTAAAAAATTCAGTGAAATGCGCTTAGAGAAGAGGAAGTTCTGTACAATATAATCAGATTAAATTTTTTTTTGGTACATAAGGACTGGTAAGTATTGAAAATGTCCTTTTAAAATTTTATCCTTGAAATTTCGCAATATCTGTATTTGAAAAAATTATATGTTAAGGACTCATATAAACTCGATATCATTCTCGAATTTCGTCCTTCAAACTTTATCAACTTAAAAAATTACCTATTCGTCCTTGTGAATCCAAAAAAAATTAATTTTTTTAACTTCTAAAGAAATTTCCTTTTTCATTTGGTTCCCATGTTTTTATTAAAATAAATCGTGAAGTCAGAGAGAAAACATAAAAACGCCACTTTAAATAAAAAAGTAGATTTCAAACCCATTTATTTATTATTTATTTTATGGTAGCAGAGATAGAAGCAATTTTTCGCGATTTAAGTTGTTGGAAAGTAATGAATATCTAAATCCCGGGTCTAATCCCGGGTCTCGAGATTGTGATATCGACATTCCGAAAATCCCGGAATCGTAAAAAGCGAAAAAATTAACATCTCTAATATGTACGTATTAATACAGTGCCAGCAATGTGAGCAACAGTAGCCACACTTCGCCACAATTACCATGAGGACAGCACTGCTTCTGTTAGAATTTGGAGCACATCTTCATTGGATAGCATCCGTCGTTATATATGTACATACATACATACATACATATGTTGTGTGCATACGAACACTCACATGTAATAGCCTAGATACGTGTTAGATATTACATACTTAAATATGTACATATGGATGTGTTTATGTACTATATGTACATATGTATGTATAAGTACCTTTGGCTGTATTTACTTTTCCACAACCGTGAAAACCCGATTAGACATAGCCGTTTAAGTATGCATATGTACATATGTATGTATGCACGAGTAAGTGATCTCGGCATTATTAATCGGAGCTGCATTTGTGACTAACGATGAGGAGTACACTTACTTGCAAGGTTACGAAGAAGACAAATTTTTTGTCGTGTGCGCATACATATGTGCATATGTATGTATGTACATACATGTATATATGCGAAGACATTTCTTTTCTTTTGTTGACTTATCACTTGATATCCTCTATTGTGGGCATTTATGTGCACTAATTCTATTATTGTTGTCACATCAACGTCATATGCAGCTTTGTACATACATATGTACATATAACCATGTATTCTAAATACATATGTATGTATATATTGACATACAATGTTAATCCGATATTCCTAACAGGGCTCTTTTACACGATATGTATTTGCATATGTAAACTTCATAGTGGCCTTAAAACTTTTTTGCCAAGGTTGAATTCTAAATGAATATTTATAGTTGACTCAGCTTTTTCTGATAAAAATAAAGAAATATCCAAAATATTGTACGTGACTTAAAAATAATAATCACGGAATGAAGAAATTTTAGGTATTGAAATTTCTGATTACAACTGCTTTTACTAATGAGCAGACATAGACACTTGCAATTAATTTCATGCAAATAACAACTCATTGCATTGAAATAAAAAAAGTTTCTCATGATTTAAACTTTTATATTTCAAATGTAAATCATAGTTATTAAATCTTTGTGTTACATATTTAAATATGTACATACATACATAATTAACTAACTTTTTTAAACAATTATAATAGTAATGATCTGAGAAAAAAGTTCAATCTAGAACTTTTAAGGCCCGTCCACATAAAACTTTGGCGTTGCGTTGGCGTTGGCGTCGCTTCAACAGCTGACTATGAATACATGAATTCAAGTGCAGCCGTCCACATAGCCAAAATTCGGCAACGCTCACGCCAACACAAAGCAAAAAGATGGCCAACTCTCATCTTTTCGCGTGCGTTGCTCGTCAGCTGTTGCAAATAAATAAAATTGTGTGAAATATTTTCCCTTTTTAATCAAGTGCAGGCCAGAAATATCGTTTTTAATGCAATTATTGATATTAAATATTAATTTATCTGTCGTTAGTATGTTAATTTAGTCGCCCAAGCATTCGCTGCCAAGCGTTCATTGTAGCAAGCATTCTTTTAACGTGCGTTCTGTCAAACCAACGCCAACGCCAAAGCCAACGCGAAAGTTCTATGTGGACCGGCCTTTAAGGCTATGTACCTTATTTAAGTATTAGTTCGTGCTCATAGTAGAAAGGCGTAAATCAAATACGCTTCATCATATTTACTATTGATAGAACTGAAATATGTACATATGTATGTATATGCAAGAATACATGCATTCGAGTCCTTCAAGTAGAAGGTACTACAGTCGCCCTTTTTAACCAAGTTGCAAAGAAACAAAACACCAGAATGGATAACGAATTACATGTAAGGCAACAAAGCAAACTCAATAATAACCCCGCAGAATATCCGACTAGCTCAGAATTAGCGTAAGACCTCTTGCCGACGGCACTAGTTCTATAGGTCAATACCCAAGCAAGCAATGCATTCAATGCATTCAATGCCGAGAGGCGAACGCTGTTAAGAAAAAGACCTTTTTCAACATTTTTTGCGATGTTGCTTCGACCAGGGCTTGAACCCAGGGCCCTGCTTACACCACTAGTACACCACAGTGGCCGCCTCAACAATTTAAATTCATCAAATCTGAAAACTCACAACTACCTCCACCGCGATGTGAACTCGCAACCAATGAGGCTTGAGTCGGAGGTCTTCTCGCTGAGCTACTTTCATATTGTGCGAGAAGTGAGAATTTGTACACTTACAACGCCAGTTTCAACTGTCCCGCTCTGCGTCCGTTTTGCACTAGTTCAGAGATAGTTATGAAATATGTAGTTCGGAACTAGCGCTTTGCTCTAAATTTTACTGCAGGGACATAACTACATACATATGAACATATATCCATACATATGAACATATACATATAGATATGTAGGTATATAGTATACTCGAGTTGGCCAATTCGGTTAAGCGATATGCGAACTAATCCGTAGGGTTGCTTGCGAAGCAAAAAAAAAACTATGCAATTGTGAATGGCATCTTTTTAAATAGATAAATGAGTACGTGTACATTAGGGTGGTCAAAAAAATGCATGTTTAAAAAGTTAAGTCGGAATTTGTTTGCTCTCACCCCCAAGGATTGTTCTAAGCCGAAAAAAATATACCCCTATTTTTTATTTGTTGGTTAAATAAACAACTGGTTACTATTATTGGCAATCTCCTAAAGGGAAACAGAGTTTTCCGATCGAAAAACATTGATTTTCAAGAATTCTAGACCATTTCTACGAAAAGTTGTTATTGACCCATATATGTATGTAAAACACATGGAAAACTTTGAGCGCTTTGTGCGATCTCTAAATATTTTTTGATTTCAAAAAGAAAAAATAGGGGTATACTTTTTTCGATATAGAATAATACTAGGGGGTGGGAGCATTAAAATTCCGAATTTACTTATTTTGGACCACTTTAATGTATGTACATATGAAGGGGTTAGAATCAAAAGGATCTAAGTAGGTCTGAAATTGTTTTGAGATAATTGAAGTTAAAGTTGATTACTTATTGTAAATTCTGGGTAAATTCATTTGAAATGATCATTGCCCGGCCAATAGATGGCACTACAATGTCCGAAATGAGTTGGTCCTCTTTGTCACCAAATAAACACTATATTTAACTATACAAATATGGGTAGAACTTATATTTTCAAAAAATGTCACTTAGACCCTAATGATTCTAACCCCTTCATATATATTAGGAAAATTTTCTGTACCAATTTGCCCTATATGCAAGGGTATTGCAAATTTATGCGCATAACGGTTGTTTGTAACAGCCTTACAAAATTGAGATAGATAGAAACATACTAAAATGCTCAGCATCAAAAGATAAATCAATTCTCCTATATCCCTCAGTCCGCCTGCCCGTTCTTCCATGGACACGGTGGCTGCATTTCTGTAAACATTCCAGATAATCCCGCCTTACTGGCGGAATAAACGGAACGCGTTTTGGATATAAGTACTATAGCATTGTATTCGGTTGTTGTACCTAATAAATAAACGTAAAGATTTGTTCCAAACGTTCAGAATGGATAAAGAAACCCAGCCGGTAGCTGCCGTATAAAAATATATACCTCAACAAAATATCGTTAAGTAAATAGATTGCTTTTAGATCAAGGCAGGGTCGTATTGAAAACTGCGGTATTTTAGTAACTAAGTTTGGTCCAAGTTCCAAGTTTTTTTTAAGATTTAATAATTACACTATACAGCACTTGGCAGGGTATTGGGACGAAATCAACTCTTTTAAGAGATTGAGTCGTAGTTAAAAAAGTAATTTCTCCGTTTTTCGAAGTTAGCCTCCGAAATCGAGATATGGGCCTTCGAAGTTCGAAATTGGACCTTTGGTAAAAAAATATTTTTAATTATTGTATGTGCCTGATCCAAAGATCCCTCAACAAACTATCCCTGTGGTGTAACAGGCGAGGACTGGGAGTGAATCCTGAAAAAACAGACCTTGTGCTGTTCACCAGGAAGCACAAGATACCTGATCTCGGGAACATAACCCTAGAGGGCAACACCCTCGCAATAAAGGAAGAGACCAAATATCTAGGTCTCATAGTAGATAGGAAACTAAACTGGGGGCCC